CTCGAGGCGTGTGCTCTGTGGGTGCCGATTCCAACCCGCTCCCGAGCGCACAGAGTGGAAGCCCCTGTCTTTTGTGCAGAGAAACAACACCAGGATGATGAAGTGTGGTTGAGAGGGATGGGAACGAAGGGGATGCTACCCAGGCTTTACCTGTCCTGTGATCAGCAGCTGTTGGACACACCCATGGATTGGAGCCCGCATTCCATTGAGAAGGATTCTTGGGTTTTATGGGTTTGAGCTGCATGGGTTTTGTGTGCTGAATCCTAGCCATAATAAAATTTCATTTTACGGGGAAAGTACAATGAAAGCTCACGGAATGGAGCATGTGCTTTATTTTAAGAGCGTGGCAAAGAGCAAGGACTCCATTCTGATTAAATACGAATGGAAATATCTCCAGGCAGCTAGCCTCGTCTTCAGGGAAGCACCTGAGAACTTAACCTTGATGGTAAGTGTGGGAGGTAACAGGAAAAATGTGAAATGGGCCTCTAGCTTTGAGATTCATGGAAGCTATTTTATTTTGGGTGCTAGAACATGCTTTCATGGAAAGAAAACCTCATAACACTAAGTATGTATTGGCATAAATCATGTAAATCTGAAAATCGGATCATAGAAGACTGAGATTGGAGGGTGTACGAGATGGCTATTTGTATAACTAAGGAGCACACATAGGACACATTGAAGATGCAGGTATGGATTTCAGTGAATACCACCCACAACTGGCATCTGCGCAGCCCTGGACTGTTTTCTAAGCATTTCAAATACCTCATTTTTCTCAGTGTTTTTTATTCATTTATTCTTGGATGCAGATTTCAGGGGACTGTCTCAGTGTTGTGTAATTATCAAACCATGGACTGGCCACCACCATTGTGCACTGTGTACCTGTATTAGCACAGTGCCTGACACACAGTGACACATACATTCTTTAAAGCGACTCACCACCACCACCACCACCACCACCACCACCACCACCACCACCACCACCACCACCGCAACAACACACTGACTATTCCATCTGGTTCTTGAGAATCAAAAACCTGCCATGTCTCATGACATAATGGCCATTAGTCTCGTTCAGAGAGAATACAAGAGCAAGTGAGTGAGCGATAATTATTTGTTCAACATACAAATCATAGAATTTGAAGGAATTTTATGGGTATTATGGATTTTCCTTCAACTTAGGCGGGTTTTTTACTGGCAAGGTAGTTTTGTTTTTTTTCTTCCAAGATCTAATGTAGCCCAGGCTAGCTTCAGAGTTACTATGTATGCCCGATCCGTCTGTTTTTACCTTCCAAGTGTTGGGATCACAGGCGTGCACCACTGTACCTGACTCACTGGTAATCTTCAGACATTTCTAATAATAGAGATTTCATTGCCTTACCTATGACATTGACTTCTATATGGGAACAGAAGAGATAGAATACATTTATATCATTTATACATTTATATCAAAAGGGGATTTATTCAATTAGCTTACACGATATAACCTGGGTAGCCCAATGATACAGAGAGGCTGAAAAACCCGATGGCTACTCAATCGACAAGGATGGATGTCTCTGTAATCCTAATCGAGTGTTTGAAGTGTGGAGGAGTTTAGGAGCGCCACAGCTCACATCTCAAGCCAGGAGCTAAGTCCTCACACCAGGGAAGAAACGGAACAGCAGCAGTGATGAGTGTGTGAACTTACCAGTTGCAGACTGAAAGCAAGCAAGGCCCAAAGCAAAAGGCTTCCCTCCGTGGTCTCCTCCATCAGGGCTGCGGCCAGAAGGAGCTGCTCACATGCAGGGTGGATCTCCCTATTTCAAACCATCTGATCGTGAAAATCCCTGGCAAGAGCGCTCAGCACCTTGCCTTTTAGTTAATTCTGGATGTGGTCCAGTTGACAGCCAAGACTAGCCACCACAGCCATGCACAGGCAATGAATCCAAAGTTGACCATTATACACACTCCTTTTATTGGTAGAATTATGGCAGATTGCTTGGGCACAATTATGAATCATATATTCTCCTGTTTCAGGACATTTCTGCTCATAAATTATGCCTATGAGGATTTTTGTTTGTTTGTTTGTTGCTTGCTAAGGCAATGGTTTCAGTATGTCAGGCTAGCCACAGACACAGACAGATTAGAACATATTGTTTTTTTTTAAAAAATGTGTGCATGACAGATTTCCAGTCCTTATTTATTTTATGGGTATGGGTGTCTGTGCACTATGTGTGTGCCTGGTGCCCACAGAGACCAGAAGAGGAGGTTGGATTCCCTGGAACTCAAGTTACAGATGGTTGTGAATTGCTGCGTGGGTGCTGGGAATAGAACCTGGGTCCTCTGGAAGAGTCCCCAGTGCTCTTAACCACTGGACCATCTCTCCAGTCCCAAAGATTTATTTTTATTTATGCATGTGTGTGTGTGTGTGTATGTATGTATGTATGTCAAGTATGTGTGGATACTTGAGGTGGCCAGGAAAGGGTGCCAGATCCCCTGCAGCTGGGGCTACATGAGATCGTGA